GTATACTAGAGAAACCAGTAAACGAGGTCATCGCCCTGGTAGAAACTAAAGAGATGGCACGCAATGCCCTCCCCTCTCCTTCGCTCTCAGCTGTCTCCTCCTTCGTGAAGCAAAAGACATCGCCACTGAACAACTCCCCCCCTCCTTCTCAGGCGGATCGGGCGAAGGAAGCAACATGTCCCGGCTGTCATATCACCTTTAACCTCCTCACGGAAGGAGCCCGTGGTTGGAACGAGAAACCCCACCACATGTGCATCGAATGCTACAGGGCCAATCGCCGTAAAAAACGTCACCAGCGTCAACCTCCACAGCGCCCGCCCCAGGCTCCAGGGGTTCATGCCACAGAAACGGAGCCAATTTCATAGATAGCCGCATTCCAAACCAAGAGTGTAGGATCCCCTTGAGCCTCCCAACGACATCGTCACACCCGGAAGGCGACCACACAAGCCACCGTCACCAAACCATTCGCAGCGCGATTAGATCACCATATCTTCTCCAAGGGGGGGTGGAAAAGGGCTCGCTTGAGAGATCATCCTAGGCTCCCGATCACCATATCCCTCTCCTACCTGGCGGGACCGACAGTGGCATCTCCAACACCTCCTCAGACATCCACGCTGAAGTATCGGCCATAGCCGACACTGGCGCCCAATCAGACTTGTGGTTGTTATCCGACTTCATAGCCTGCGGTTTCTCTCGTGACCAACTACACCCCATCAGCCTCAGCCTATCAGCAGCTAACCGCTGGCTCATCTCGATAGAGGGAGCGTTCTTCGCAAAACTCGCTACACGGTCCAGCAGCGGGGACATTACAGCATGCCACTCTATGGTCTATGTGAGCAGCTCTGTCAAAGACGTGTAACTGTTTTACGACTCACTACTAAACCTTGGTCTACTGCCGCGTACCTTCCCATCCCTTGACAACTCTTCTAGCACCCGTTCTGTAAGTGATACCCCTGATAAACAGCCACATGTTCCCAGCGTCTCACCAGAAATCAACGCTACGAGGGCCCTCAATGATGGCTGCCCGGAACCCACCATTGCGCGCAACACTACGTGCTCGTGTCCACAGCGCGGAGCAACACCACCACGTCCCTCCCACTTTTTCTTGATTGCCTGTTACTGAAGGATATGTAATTATTAGTGTTTACAGAAGAGTGTCCTTTAATGAACTTAAAAAGCTGAACCAAACTAAGAAACTCTCTGCGCTGAGCTAGTGTCGCTAGTTTCAAGGATTTCAGTCGGTCTTCATACGGAGTGTCTTTATCAATGATCCATCAATGAAGTATATATAATGAAGTATGGGGTTATACGGGAATCTCGACGATCTCTCTCAGTTGCTCTCCTCTGATACAACGTTAACTTTGAAGTTAAACTTCGCGGTGTTCTTCAAAAAGCATCACAGTTGGAACGACAACAATCGAACGTTGAGACCGTCGAATACGTTATCGAATGATGAGACCGTCGAAAACTTCGCAGTGTTTTTCAAAAAGCGTCACGACAGCAAATATGATTGGCGAATGTCTAGACCGTCGAATACGTTATAGTCCCAAGTCTTTCTCCTTCTCTCGTGCACGAGCGTGAAGCGTGCGCTGGAGATTGGTAACAACCCGCTATTTCATCGTGCCCGGTAAATACCGGGAAAATTTACAGGTGCTTCGAGAAACGCTATTTCGGGCCCGGTAGAGTTTCCCGTTAAACATCCCGATAAGTTATCGGGCCCGGTAGTTACCGGGTCTTTCGAGAAACGGGCCCCTGGGGCCCGTTACTCAAAACGTCCCGGTAAATTTGTCAAACGTAGTACGTTTATGACGTTGTCTGTCAAAGAGCTGGGCCATTAAACATACGTTATCGATTTTACACCAAAAGTCTACCTGGTAATTTGCAAAACATATTGCTCAACAGCGCTTATCAACGTAACCGATACAGTTTAATACAATCAACGTCTAGATCGAATAAAATGTTATGATATAAAGGAAAAGCTTTACTTGTCGCTAGTTTCCACTTTCTGCATTCTCAGAACTGATCGTTAGAGCGTAAGGGCACATATAGGAATCATTTGAAATATTTGTTTACCCGACACGTTTGTCTCGCGACAGTTGAGATTGTTAAATGTTGATCAGCATGCTTCACCGATTTCAAAGCTCTGTTGGTCTTGGTACTATAAACACTGCTGAGGATTACAAATTATACGTGCATTTGCATCCCATACTTACCTTATGTATTCAAAATAGAAGTGAGACAAACATGATATTCCCTGAATATCATTTATTGTGAATTAGCAAGTGTACAGTTAAATGTTTGCTTGTAATCAACCAGTACTGAAAAGAATAAAGTGTTATATTCTGATAACTGTTAAATTGATATGCTAAATCATAGGCAGCGATGCTATATTTACCACTATTTATCATATATCGTCGTATATAGTGTAAATACGAAATGAGGAATGACACGCTTTCCGAGAGTCTATATGTTCGTTATATATCTAATGGTATGCTAAAATGATAAAGTTGGTCCTAATTATAGACTCTTACTCCCTTCTAACTGGAGATGAAGTCTTGGAGTAAATTTTTACACGATCTGTGTTATAGATCGGCCAACTTTAGGTCCATGTGCAATTAGAAATTGTCAAAAGGGATCTTTGTGTATCACTTGTTCCCGGAAATGAACATCCTAACGCGTTCATAGTTTCTATCAAAATGAAGTTCATGTACTAATCGAGGAAAGTTTCACCTACAGAAAGCATGAAGGTAGTATAAGAATCTCTCAATCACTGCCTAATGAAACATCAAAGAATGATGAAAAAGCAGCCATATGCAGTTAACCAACTATTAAAAGGGTTTACCAAATTTGAATCAAAAGAAGTAAACGTCACTGTTTCTTTGTTTAATTTGAACTTTGTACCACATTAACATACGAAGCGAACTGGACCTATTCAGGGCGCTATGTATTCAAATCTATTCGGAGATGCCAACATTATCGACTGGAAATACTAATGCACCGGAGGGAATTTTTCTGCCATTTGCCGGAGTAACCAGACCTGCACTGGTAGACTTAGTGCTCTGCCTGGCAGCAGGCATGTGCAATTGCTGCGAAATAGGAAATATAAACCATATAACTACATCTAGCCTATTTTAGCCCTAAGGTCACTGATTAGACTTCTTACCGTTCAGCTCGCTTTCACCACAGGAGTGAAGCAAAAAGGGTAACTCTTAATCGAGTTGTTTTTGCGTTGAAATCGGCTTAGTTTTCTGTTTTTTTCTTTTCGGTGACTTTCGCTAGACGGTGTAGTTTCAGGTCAAATGACCCCATACCAAACTTCCAGGGAAATCGATAACATTGTCTTAAATAATGACATGGAGCGGTGTTCCTCTCCAATAATTTTCCTCGTGTTATACCTTACGATTGGCTTCCCCGCTACCCCCTCTAGTGGCGATACAAACCAATTACTAGGGAGCTTAAGCAACCACGACGAAAGGGACGACGACGACGTCAAGTAACCGCGGAGGGTCTGGAACGAGGACGTCGTTTTTGGCGGGAAAATGAAACTTAAGCAGTGAAGTTGCTCAAGGACGACGACGTCTGAAATCTTGTTTATTCTCGCTTCGTCAGTTTAAGAAATGACATCGTTCATAGACGTCCAAAACCTTCTAACTCCTGGATCAAATTTCCACATATATATGGAAAGTTCGAGAGTAGGTTATTCAATTCTTGAACATCAACAGTCCAAGGAACTATGAAGCCTTAGCTTTATTTACAATAATTTACGCATCGCAAAAGTTTAAAATATTAAACTTTACGCAAGTTATTTGAGATTTAAATTCAGTTTAAAGTGTTGCTGATATAAACAAACCTATTTTGCACAAGGTTTGTCTGATTTCAACATGCTTTAGCCCGATATGTTCTACCTTTGATGCTCCTTCCTTTGGCGAGCAAACGACGTAAGTCTGTCAATTTAATCAATGCTGGCTAGCGATCGGCACAGGTAGCGGTCGTCACGCTTCACCCAAGAATACTATTTTTTCCGGTGTGATTTTGTCGGAACAATTTTTATGGCTGTAAATCTGTATCAAACATTTTGAAAGTAGATTTGGAAAACCTGACAGGTATTCAAGCTCATGTTAACACACCGATCTGAAGAATTCTTTGTTGTTTAAAGTGAAGGGACTACCGCTGGCCACATACTGCGGACTCGTTAGGACCGCTGACCTGTGCTAGTCAGCCAGATTGTTTCGGACACTCGAACTCATGAACATCAACAAATATCTTGCGAATTGAACTTATTTTCGTAAGTCTATTATATTGTGTTTCGTTTAGCTTTATAGTTCGCGTTACTTAGTGTATGGATATTGTGATTTATCCTGTAGATATGTTTCATCGTTGTGATTGAACCAAATCAATCGAGGAGTTCGCTTCATNGCCGCCTCAAGACACCCTTCCCCATCCTGCACAGAGAACATTGTCTCTCTTGGATCACCCAGCTTTCCCGACATCGCAGAATCTGCCTTGATAAACACCATCCGCAACGACACCCACGAGCTAGGCGCCATCCCTTGGTCTCTCCTTGCAACAGAAACAGCTGTAGACGCCTTCCTGGGTTAGATTCATTGTTGACCCGGCCTCGTTCGATGTTGACCCGGCCTCGTGGAATGTTGACCCGGCCTCGTTATGTTGACCCGGCCTCGTATGGTGTTGACCCGGCCTCGTTCGATGTTGACCCGGCCTCGTTGAGTGTTGACCCGGCCTCGTTGATGTTGACCCGGCCTCGTTCATGTTGACCCGGCCTCGTCGAGGCCGGGTCAACATCAACGAGGCCGGGTCAACACCTAACGAGGCCGGGTCAACATTGATGTTGACCTGGACTCCCTGACTTGTAGGTGCGATATCTCGAAAACGGCTTGATGAATTTGCGTGAAATTTTCACACGATGTTTATTGTTTACATATCTATATTCTGTGTAAATATTATTAGATTTTATGAAGCATTATAGGCGCATTATCTGTTTTAGAAAATACCAAACATTTGACTATGACTATGTCTAACTATGACTTGTATTATGGCGATGACTATGTCTCTGGCCCTATTCTTTGTCATAGTCATATCTATAGTCAGAGCATCAATCATAGTCATAGTCTTAGCCCTAGTCACAACCATAGTTTGGTCATAGTGAATACCTAAGTCATAGTCCTAGTCATAAACTTTAAATGAGTACGACTATGAGTTAGATATTGACTATGACAAAACTATGGTTGTGACTAGGGCTATTACTATGAGTATGTTTGATGCTCTGACTATAGATATGACTATGACAAAGAATAGGGCCATAGACATAGTCATCGCCATAGTACAAGTCATGGTTAGACATAGTCATAGTCAATTTTTTGGTATTTGTTATGACTTAGATAATGACTGTGACGATACTATGGTTGAGATGATGACTATGATAATATGTTATGACTTTGACTATGACTACAACTATGAATAATACTATGACTATAGATATGACTATGACCAAGGGTTAGGCCATAGCCATAGTCATAGTGGTAGTCATGGTCAAAGACAAAATCATAGGTATGGTCCTAGTCATAGTCATAGTCATAGTCGTAGTCATAGTCGTAGTCATAGTCATAGTCCTAATCAGAGTCATAGTCACAGTCATAGTCCTAGTAATAGTCAGAGTCCTTGTCATAGTCATAGTCATAGTTCTAGTCATAGACATAGTCATAGTCAGAGTCATAGTCATAGTCATAGTTATAGTCATAGTCAGAGTCATAGTCACAGTCATAGTCAGAGTCATAGTCATAGTCATAGTCAGAGTGATAGTCAGAGTCATAGACATAGTCATAGTCAGAGTCATAGTCATAGTCAGAGTCATAGTCAGAGTCATAGACATAGTCATAGTCAGAGTCATAGTCATAGTCAGAGTCATNCAGATAGCCGCGTTCCACACCAAGAGTGTAGGCTCCCCTCGAGCCTCCCAACGAAACCGTCACACCCGGAAGGCGACCACACATGCCACCGTCACCAAACCATTCGCAGCG